AAAATCTTATTGTACAACGATGTGAGATTCAAACAAAGTTGTGCAGTTTAGCCACATGTTTGTTGTGTATTATACTGCAACATAAACACCGGAAGCCAAGGAAGAGATGAATGCATTACCTGATTCTGCACCCACAATCAGGTCGGAGCCAGGAACGTCAATGTAAATGCCACGGTCGTTCATGTGTGCACTGCTGATTGGTCGATTCCGCTGCGTGTTCCAGTATGCTGCTTTGTTATTTTGATCGGTTATCTCGTCCGTTGACAAAAGATTGTGTTCTGCTTTTGAGAGAGGGCTAGTGGGAATTTGGCTAATCAGAAAACTTGAAGTTCGTCAGTGTAATCTTCAAAGATATAAGTCTGTATAGAGAGATACGTGAAGCTTATCTGAGGAGATGAGCTTTGAATGGAGATCAATGAACTACTTCATATTCGTAAAAACAGTGAACAATCCATCTGTCAACTGAAGTATTTCTGTCAAGTTCATTATGCCAGATTAGATGTTTCTGGCTGAATCGAAACCAATGGAGACTGGTGGTATGCGGTGCGAAGTATTTTGCTCGCCATCCGCTTTCTCACGCGGGTGATATTGACATAGTTGGCAAAATATTGAAAATCGGTTTTCGTAGCTCGGGTGAACTGAATTCCATTGCCAAGCTCGGCGAACAGACGAAATGGAATAGTGACATAGTGTTTAGATAAAGCCTATCTAGTAGATAGCATGCACTGAGTTACTCTCGTGGTAACATTGCTTCATTAATTTTAATAGTTAGGAACAGAATGTTTTATCGACTTACATATTTGCGTTCTACGTATGAGGTATCGCGTTTGGTACACAGCTGCATCGATAGATCAGCGATGGCGAAGAAACCCGAATAGATCTAATCGGCTGTCCAGTGCTTCCTAACTTTTCAAGTTGCAATAAGTTTAGATATGTGTATGTTGACATTCACACCGTCTAAGTGGGCCGAAGAAACAACCGGGTTTTTTACATTGGTTTGAGCTGAAAAGTACACTTTATCTGATCAAAAAATGCGTTCAAAAGTAAGGCAAATAATTCTGGGTACGCGATACCGGGACACAAAATAATAGACTCGCCGCATTCGTGCAGCCATTTGCTTGTGTCTCAGAAATCGAACTAGTCCTCGAGGTCCCATAAGCAATAGACCGGAGAAACCTATGAACTAACCTGGGGTAGAACGGGAACAAACTCTCAACTGTTTGTTTGCTCATTGAGGACAACGTGGTAAGCGGACACCAGACTCGGAACTTGATTTTCAAGTTTTGATCCCCATCACCCACAAATATGTCAAATTAAAATTAAAATTTTTATTATGGGATATAACTTACAAAGACTTTGCTTTTACAAATCCCATAGGGTGTTTACATATTGGTTCGGTCAAAGGTATAGCAACTGTAAGTCTTGGGAATAACTGAAAACGAATCCTAAGTGCCCGCAAAAATATGTTGATGGTAAAGATAGTCTAATAAATCCTACTTACGTATATCTACACAATATAACGTCCACACCTCCAGCCAGGAATCGGTGTCCGACGGCATTCTGAATATCCTGAACCTTGTTTTGGACAGTGATCTCAATCCTTTCTCGGAGTATTCGACAAAACTAGAGAAAGGATCTCCTGACTTCGTCGATGAGCACCTAAACTTCGTTTGTGACGACTTCATCCGGGAGGATCTTAGTTGTGGAATAAACAAAAGGAAGTATATATTCGGCGGTGGAAAGTCTGTACAGTTTCCTATGATGACCAATTCGTCTGAGTAATTTGACTTGTCTGAGAAAAGTTTCAAGCTTTTTTGGACACCAAAATAACTGGTGAGAATTACCGAGTTTTCCACTAGATTGTATTTCACAGGCGATAAGAGTAAGATTGCCGAACTCCAAAGTCAAGCGACAACTCTTTGTCAATTTTAAGCCCATTCATTCATTGTTGATAACATGAGACTGATAAGAATTTAAAACGCAGTATGCGGCCATAGAAGAGTTCACAGAGAATCTCTATTTTTCAACTTGAAAACAGATTTAAACAAACATAACAAGCTGGAGCTTGTATCGAGGCTGTTATTGGAAGAAGATGATCTGATTAAACCATCAAACCTTTTTTTACCAAACAAACACCATCATTCTATCTTACATACACACATCATACACACACATCGAAGACGCTGATTGCTATTGTGCTGAAATTGAAGAGACATCTTTCTCGGGACGTTCACCATAAAAACATTTCTGAATCGCGTGATGCTTTAGAACTTAATCACTTTCACACGTATGGGCTTTCTTTGAAGAGGAAGGCTGTCCTATTTATTGAAGCATAAACATAAGTCGGCCAACGGTTGTCGTGTTCCTTGACCTAAAAGGAGCCTTCGACTCAGTTGACCGTGAATCACTTATGGGTTCCCTCATTCGCAAAGGAATGCCGCTTATGCATGTGAACATTTTGAGTTCACTCTACTTGCATCCTTCTAGTAGCGCAATGGTCTACGGCGAGCTGAGTAGGTCGTTCGTAACTAGCAGTGGTGTTCATCAAGGGTGCTCTCTTTCACCATTCCTGTTCAATTTAGACATAGACGAACTACTGGAGAACACACTAAGTGGTCTCCAAATTGTACGTGGACAGCTGGAGAAAAGCTTTGCGATTTGGAGTAAGCGGACGACTTCGTTTGCTTGTTCGAATGTATGGAGGATGCACAAAGAGCAGATTATCAAGTTATGTCGCTCCGTTCGGCGTGTGCTCTGCACCTTCAAAGTGCAGAGTGATGCTACAAGACTGGGTGTCACCGAGTTCCGTTCTGAAACTAGACGGTCGGGAATTAGCTGAAGTTGACTGCTTCTCGTACCTAAGTCGCTGTGTGATCAACGACGGTAGCGCAGCAAAGGAGATAACCGCCCGCACTTCAGAGGCTCGAGCAACATACGCACGACTTAAACACCTGTGGCGGCGCCGTGACGTGTCACAAAAGTTGAGAAGTCGCTTATACTGCGCCACTATACGATCAGTTTTCCTTTACGGTTGTGAGAACTTGAATTTGCGGGTAGAAGACACCCGTCGTTTAGCAGTGTTCGACAATCGATGCCTACGTAGTCTGGCCCACGTGGGACGGAGTGAGCGGGTTAGTAACTTAGAAGTAAATCGTCATGATGTTTCGGAATACGTCAAACAAGAACTCGAATCCAGGCTCAATAGGCTTCGTTGGTTAGGACACGTGTTGCGTATGTCCGACGGTCGTTTACCGCAGCACGCCTTATTTGCGGTGGTTGTTGCAGGCTAGAGAAAACCATGTGGAGTCCAGCAGGCGAAATGGAGAGGAGGCATACCGAAATACACAGAGCCATTAGGTATAGTAGGTGTCTCTCATCTTCCGGGTTGAGGTCCAAAAGACCCCAAAACCGCATGGTTGGAGACACTGAAGATCATGTCCGCGAACCGACAGCAATGGCGATCATGCTGTCACTTCGTATCAAACCAGAATGCTCGAAACAGTATGTATGCACAACTGGGTTATGTACTCTGTGTTCTGAGCATAGAGGTTCACTTTCTTTTCCGGTCCCTAAAAATAGGCCTAATCCCTGTCCTCCTTACACACTCTCACTTACCTTGTATGCAATATGAGTTTGGCAGCGATCAGTGAAGTTCGCTTCATTGTATTACGCTGCACAATGATGATGAGGATGATGATGAAACATAAGTCAAGTAAGTTAGCATGGCAGCAAAATAAAGCAAAATACATTGAAACAGACAAAACATAAAAAAGTAAGATGGGTAGAAGGATTATGTCACCAAAGTAGGGATAGGCTGACAAGGAGGGGGCTTCCAGCAGCTGATAGCAGTCGCTTCAGCAAACCTTAGCACTCTTGCTACTCGTGACTTGCAGACGATCCGATGTTCCGTGTTTCGGTTGATCTGGCGTTGCTTCATCAACAGATGTCGAGCATTGGGTGAGGACGGGGTTTTGTATTTTCAACCATCGTTTCTATGCCGCGGACTTGACCTCGATTCGGTCACCTGATTTTGAGCCCATTTTCTGTAGTATGCATCATGCTGAGATGCAGCGAAAGACTCCTGGACATAAATCGTGCAGTATTGCAATACAAAGAAATATATATATATAATAACTAACAAATCAGCTACGTTTACTGCAAGTCCACAAAAATGCCTTATTGTTTCTGATAGTCCTTGGACACTATCTGGTTCGGCTAGAGGAGCTGAGAATTTACTGCACACATTCGTTCGTTAACGTCTTTGCCTAGAGATCTTTCCGTTTAACGGCCGATTGTCGTTAATAGCTAAATGTGAAGTGTGCCACGTTTATCGAGGGTTTCGTAATGGATCACCAAATGTATGCATTTAGACGAATGTAACAAGAGAAAACTGTGACAGTTGGATGAACAACTAGAAAACTCCAAAAATGCACGAATTTCGATACAAAGGGTACAATAAATGCCAAGCATGCACCCATATGTGGGATATTGTTCTTCCTGAAACATTCTTTCTTTAAAAACACTCTAAATCATGTCACTCAGTTTTGTTTTGGAAAGATCTCAACCAGCAGAATAAATCGACAAAGGTGGGAATCTTCGGATCCTTGATTACTTGTAAACTCATTTGATCATTCATATATCAGATTGTGCTGTNAGAGAAAACTGTGACAGTTGGATGAACAACTAGCAAACTCCAAAAATGCACGAATTTCGATACAAAGGGTACAATAAATTCAAGTCATACGATTTTAGGTGAGAAATCGTTTATTCTGAAAAAAATCATCCTTTTTAAAAGCCAATAACTTGTCACAAAATGCATTCCTTGAAAAAATGCGAAAAAACGGCAAACAAGTTTGTTCTCAAAGGTTGTCAACGAGCAGGATGACTGTTAATCAGTGCTAATCCTCGGATTATTCGCTACTTGTAAATTCATTTAAACATTCACATTTTAGATTGTGTTGTCTGATGTGGTATAAAAGGTATGAGTGAATTGCCCTCACGATATCGTTTGTTGTTTCTTCCAACAATGCCTTTCACGGTGCACTGTCAGATTTTACTTGTTCTTCTGCTGACCGTCATTTCCACGAACAATGCGCAAAATCCAAGTGAGTCTGAGTATTGGATTCAGGTCGACTAATTTCAGTATCGTTTTCAAGAAAAACAATGTTCGCATCAACATCAACATCATGATCATCATGATCATCAACTATATCACCATCATCATCATCGTCATTATCACCATTACACGGTTATGACAATGTGCTCATGGTGGCAGTAAGTATCTACTAAATGCTATGAATAACTGAGGAGAATCACTTGAAATTTTTCCACTAAACTACCTAAACGGCGTGTGTTTACCTGCTTTGAAACCCAGTGAGTATCACGTTCACAATATAGACCATCACATGGGTTGTTGGATGAGTGCGAAAGGAGAGAGCATTCATTAGGAATGTTTTCAATAGAATCCTTATCCAGTGCACACTGGGGCAACGGAGGTTCATCATCCACTAACCATCGCAGTAAACATTCTGTGAGTCATAGTACCGTCAAATTTCAGTTTTTTGGTTACAGTACGGTTAAGCCTGAGACATCAACTTCCCTGTTCGACACGTATTAATTCGTCTCGTTTCCATTTATTTTTTTAATTATCAGGTACTTTGTTTCCCTTTCTTTTATTACAAATTTGTTTTAGTTCCTCCAAGATGCTTGGAAGAAAAATATGCTGGACCTTGTGGAGCGAACATCCTGAGATATTGGTACAATCCCGAGACAAACCGATGCGAAGTATTCCTCTACGGAGGATGTGAGGCAAATGGGAATCATTTCGGTAGTTTTACCGAATGTGTGCAGACCTGTTTGCTTCCGTCATAGCATCATTCACAAATAAAATATCCCACCTTCCGCATTGTGTTCTTCTACATCGACCGAATTTCTTCTGGCTAAGTAAACTTAACCAGTAAAACGTTGTTCAACATGAAGTTTATTACATGCGCATAAATGCAACCAACTGAGTTGTGGGCGCGATAGTTTGAATTCATCAGGTGAATGACGTGTACCATCAGATGGAAGACTCGTCAGTGCGCACAAAGGAGTGTCAAAGTTCTGTTTAAAATACTTCGACTTTGAATTTGGAAAAAACAATGCCAACAATCCAAGTTAGTGTCTACTGATGCCTTCCACTAGATCCCTTTTACGAACAGTCTGACAAATTCTTTTCTTGGTTCGAATCTGTTTCACTTCTGTCTGATCGACGCTAATAAACTTCGAACAAAGCGAATAGGTAATTGCATTTTGCTCGGACAGTTAACCGCCAGTTTCCTTACGCTCCTATCCAACCGCGTGAGTGGCTATTCTCACCTCTGATCACTTGTATGTTTGGATTGAAAAAAATAATTCTACTGAGAGTAGTACACCTTGCAATAGTCCAATCGGACAGGAGTGTGCAATAAGGTCACATTTGTATTGTCATCAAAACGGGACCGTCGATTGCGTTCCGAAAACTGGAATTATCCTGTCAAAGCGCACAAACTGAACATACCACAAGACATCTTGCACAACCAGTGATCAGATAGCGGATGATCTATGCTCTATTTACCAAATGTTTGTTCTTTCTTTAAAAGCATGTATTTGACATGTGTGTGTATGTGACTTGGCGCTCTTCATAAATCAAAGTCACGAATAGCCTACAAGTAACAGGCATGTTAATACCGGAGGATATTATTCAATTTCAAAGGTAAAATTCGTCGTATAATTAGCAAATGAAGCGTGAACTGAAAACATAGGAAGCACTGGACATCCATTGTTACCCGTTTGGGTCTCATCAGCAGTGTGAATCCATTGACCCAACTGGGGATCGAACCCGGGACCTCGCAGGCGGAACG